GAAGAAGCTTCAGTTCATGAAAGGAAACGAACAGAAAGTGATCAGCTTATCTGCTGCAGGACTTTTCTATGAAAACGAGGATGAAGCAGGAATCCGTTTGCTTCAAAGCAGAAACTGACTTCGGCCTAACGCGGCGTCAGAACCTGAAAGGGAAGTCGCTCTTGGAGCTGATCTTGCTGTGGAAGAACATCTCCAGAGAAAGGAGCGTGGTACCTTCCTCAGTGAGCATGCAGTCACTCAGTGAGACCTCCGTGAAGACGTTCTCGCTCTGCAGGGCCCTGGACAGAACCGTGCAGGTTCCTGTGGTCAGGCTCTGTCCGCTCAGGTCCAGCCTGGAGATGTGAGCGCCGCCGCTCTGCTGGAGCTGAGCCACCACGCTCTCCTGGGGCTCCACGCCGGCCTCCTTACACAGCTGGAGGTACGTCCACCTGAAGGCCTCCATGCTGGGCGTTCCTCCCTCTGCCTTTGGAGACCTGAGCTGCAGCTGAAAGGAGACACAGATTTTTACCACAGACCAAGTTTAGCAGCTTCTAGGTGATGCTTTCATTTCTGCAGAAAGCCACATTTCCTCCGCTAGAGGTCAGAGGTCACCCTCTGCTGTGGATCTCTCTCTGCTAAACACCAAAGTGCCTCAGACTGAGGGGCTGAAAGGCATGGAGGCCCATCCAGCAGAACCAGAACCAGACTGGGCCTCTGTCCCTACAGGCTGAGGGGCCAAAGGTAACCCAGGGAGGAAAATGCACCAGGATGGAGCCCTGAGGTTCTGCAGACCTCAGGGCTCCATCCTGGACCGGAACCACCGAACAGAACCCAGCAGGACCAGCTCTGCTGCAGACTAACTGAAATTCATTCAAATGTTCTGCTTCTCATTCAGTGAACTCAACCAATCAGAACTCTAAACCATAAACAAAAACACAGCAGAGAGGAACAGAACCGGAACCGGAAGCAGAGATGTTCTCCCTCCGAGTCTGGATTTATGAGAAGAATCAAAACGAAACCAACCTCAGAAAACAGAAAATATTATCGGTTCGATTCAAACCAGAAGAAAACAGGCGGAGTAACCAGGAAGTGGAAGCCGCAAGGCATCATGGTCAGCGTAGTTCGATTTAAACCATCCAGCTTCAGCCTGATCCTTACCTAGCTTTACCGCCCTCTTGTGGACAGACCGAGCATTGAAGGGAAACTATGGACTATCAGAAAAACAGCGAAAAAAATCAAAGTGAAGCTTTAAGGACAGCCTGAATACAGGAAACCACCATCCTCATCCTCAGCCCTTCATCTCTGACCTGCGATTGGCTCTCCATCATCCATCCATCCTTCCATCCATCCATCCATCCTTCCATCCATCCATCCATCCATCCATCCATCCATCCATCCATCCATCCATCCATCCATCCATCCATCCATCCATCCACCAGCAGCTCATTTCTAACCTTAGAAAACCCAAAATGCTGATCATTCTTCATTACTTTGAATTATTTGTTCAATAAATCAACCATAAGTTGTTTTTTTAAAGTCATTTCAGGTTTTGTTTGAAATCTGGGAAAATACAAAATTAAAATTTTCTTTATTTAATAAATTTAAATGGAATGATTGCTTCCCTGAAGAGAAATATCCATAACGTCCATAAATCTATGAAGAGAGTGATTAGAAATAATACGGAGAGAAGCTTGATTAAACAGGTTAAACATAAGAATGTCACATTTTATGACATTTGATTGATTATGTTTAAAAAAAGATTAAAACAATTGAATAGGAAGCTGCGATACGTTAGGGATATATATTTTTTTATATCCTGTTTTTAACTGATGAAAACCAAAGATTTTTCATTTAAAATATTCTGTTAAAGCTTTACAAGTTTACTCCAATGTTCCTTTGCTGGGATTAGATTAGTGACACAATGTTCTTACATTTTCCTCAAGTTTTATTAAAAAGCTCAGTTGGTTGAACGTGAGCTTCCTTTTCTTTGTCTGTTGGTTAAAAAATAAAACACTTTAATAACCTAAAAACCTATTAATTCATCTATCTCATGTCTTTTTGTCATTTTGCTTTATTTAATATGTTTCTTTCTATTATTTCTTTAAATCCTTTAAAGAAGCCGCATTTGCTTTGCCTGCCCTGTGAGTCGCAGCGTTCAGCAGGAATCCACAAATAAACAGAAATGTTCTCTTTTCAGTAAGTAATAAATTATTATTAAATATTTAAGGATTCTTTAATGATCTGGAAGATTTTATCAACAAAACAGAAACTTTCTAACAGGCTGTTTGTCCAAATATCCAAGCTCTCAGATTATTATGGGAGATGATTTCAGTAATTGGATAATCTATAGATAGATGCTAATAATCATCCTTTAGTTTCTCTTATTCAGGGACTGAATGTAGATTTATGGAATCACGACGGCTGATTTCAAAGAATTTGAAAATAACGTTGCAAAGATTTCTCCCACAATGTTTTCAGACCATTACTTCCTCTGGTCCTTTATTAAACAATTATTATAACCTTTCTGCGTCTTTCCTTTTCCTGTCATCATTCAATAATAGAATGAAGGTAGTTATTAATGACGGTTTTAGAAGAATATTTCTAATAATGTCAGATCATCCTCTGAATGGAGGATGCTGGTGACTTCTTCTGAAGGTGGCTCTCTGTCTTTGGTTCCTCTCCTAGATTGTTCCTCAGTGACGCTTTAGACCGACGCGCCTCTGTCTCTTCAGCTTCACATCAGGATTAGAGACACACGGGGGGAGAGTTTCAGATCTATGAGTCGATTCGCTGATGATGCAGTTTTGTTTTTAAAGGAAGTTTCCTCAGTGCTTAAAGTAACAGAAGGTTTCTGGCCTGTTTCTCAATACGAACAATAAATGGAGACACTTCTGTTTGTCAATTTCCTGTTAAAACCTCCATAACCAATCTAGGTACCATTATCTCTAAGGACAGAAAAAAAGAAGCATAACTAATTTCTCTCCTATCAGAGGAAAATCCAGAAGAGTTTTTATTAATAATCCTCCTGTCTGGTCTATCCTACGCTGAACAGTCATCATCTGTCCAGAATTCAATGTTATTTGTTTCTTGGAGAAATAAAACTCATTATTTGTGTAAATCATCAAGTCAAACAGTTTAAACTTTTCAAATAAAATGGATTATAAAGCTCAGAGTTTCATTTTCCATGATGACTTTTCACACCTCAGGTCCATTTTCTCACAGTCATGGTTTGATATTATTTTATTTAATCAGCTCTTTGGTGAAATATTCCTGTTACTGAAAGAGAATTTCATTTTCTTTTAGTTTATTCGGAGATGATGATCGCAGACCGACGGTGTTCCTTTACCTTTGCAGGTAATTCCACTAAACATCTTATCCTCCATATTCTTTCCGATCCCAACTGGAGGGAAATCCAGCGTCTTCCACAAAAATATTTTCTTACAAATGAAGTGAAAGACGATTTATCAAATTAAATCACTGTTTTTATCAGATCAAACAGTTCCTACAAAAAAAGCAGATATATGCTTCTAGATGTTTCCTGCTGTTTTTACTGCTCTATCGTCTAAAAGCATAAAGCATTCTATTTCATGTCTTGAAAATTATATTTTGGAGAAGAAAAAAAAGGCAAAATAGGGCTGCTGAGTGGTGCAGTGGGTAGCACTGGTAGCTAGAAGGTTTCAGGTTTAATTCCTGGCCCGGGGTCTCTCTGCATGTTCTCCCTGAGCATGTGTGGTTTCTCTCCGGGTACTCCAGCTTTCTACCACAGTCCAAAAACATGACTGTTAGGTTAATAGGCTTCTCTAAATCCTCCTTAAGTTTGAGTGTGAATGACCCTCGCGAGGATAAGATGATGGAAAATAGATGATTTAGAAAATGTTTTGTTTGATTTTACAGAGTGTTTTTTTCCCCTTCATAAATCTGATTCTGCTCTCAGCAAACTTCCACATTCCCAAAAGCAAAACAATGAAAAGGTCCAAAATAATGAAACACTCTCACACTCTGGTTTAAAAAAAGACTCTAAATGTTGATAATACAAAAAAATCATTTATTAACTCTCCTCTGTGTTTTATTTGTGTTCTTTGCATTAATGTATTTTTATTTCATTCTTTTTGCAATTTTTACATCAGGCTTTTTTTGTCCTGATCTATTGATCTCTTGCAGTTTCTTTTTGAGTTTTTTTTATTTAACCTGTTTTAACATATGGTTCTCACCTGTATTTAAACTTCGTAAATATTTAAATAGAGTAAAAGAAGGAATATATAATATCATAGGATTTGGTTTACTTAAAGGGGAACACTGTTTTTCTTTTACATTGGACCCTTGATTTGACGTTATTCCATCATGTTCTACTCACCCATATTAGTTTTGTGTCATTTGGAGCTGTTCTGAAGATATTCAGTTAGGTTATATCCAAGTAACGTCTTCCTATGAGCAATGACGTCATATCGACTCCGCTTTGTTTTTAAAAGATATAAATACAAAAAATATAACCGCGGATTTCTGGGGGACAGTGATTCTCCTACATGTTATGAATGCTGGTGTACCATAAAGAATAAATTATGAACAGTTTAGTTTGTGACTTCAACTCGTTGCCCATAGGAAGACGTTACTTGGATATAACCTAACGGAATATCTTCAGAACACTAAATTAATATGGGTGAATAGAGCATGATGTAATAATGTAAAATCAAGGGCCCAGTGAAAGAAAACTCGGCGTCTACCTTTAATGTAAACATTAATTAATCTCAAAGGACATAACTGATACTCCGATACGGTAGGGGGCAGTATGCAGCCAAAAGTCTACCATTAAATAATAATTAGAAAAGATGTGCTTTCCTCCTCGGGCAGCAGAGGGCAGTATAAACCACGTGGGCCGGCAGTTCAGTCTAAGGAAGAGAAGGAGAAGCAACATGGCGGCTACGGCAGGCAGCTCTCTGGCCAAACTTCAGTCACTAAATGGACTTTTCGCCATTTATAAGAAACCGGGACCTACTTCCGCCGATGTGCTGAACGCGCTGAAGGACGCGCTGCTCAGAGGTAAACGCTCCGGTTCCCACAACAGCAGAACCGTGGAGGTCTGCGGGTCACTCAACGGTTCTTCCTCTGTGTTCCTGTTGAAGAAGCGGGGCTGCATAACCCCAACAGTAGGAAGAGGAAGAAGCAGTGGGTGAAGATTGGCCACGGAGGGACCCTGGACAGCGCCGCCAGCGGGGTACTCGGTGAGCGACCGCTTGATTGGAGGCTGACGTGCCCACAGGGCGGCCATCTTGGGTCAGACCACAGTTCAGACAGCTGCTGTCAGAATGACTATTATTTTTATTCAGTATTTTTAAGGATTGCTATTTGTTAGTAAGTATTATAAAATTAAGATAAAGTTAATTAAAAAATACAATAACTTTACTCTCTTTTGTAAATCACATTACTACAAATGTTCCTTTATAGATCATAAAACTCAGTATCAAAGAGCAATCCTTAAAAATACTGAATTTTAATAATATACTATATGAGTATATAATGTTTGAAAATCATAGTTTTAATATATTAATATAAAACTTTGAGTTGATCATACTAATATATACATATATATATATATATATATATATATATATATATATATATATATATATATATATATATATATCTCATCCAGTTTGAGTTTAGTTTAGTTTTTAATGTAAATAAATCTTTGTAATCTAACTGAAAGGTCATTATAACTTTTGTTCTTTTAAGGGTTTGTGACATGTTAGAGATTATTGTAAAATTATCACTGACTCATCTTCAATGTGATTAAAATGAGATCTGAGGCGCCTGTCGCTACCCGATATGTCCGAGAAGCACGATCTATTATGCGCATGCGCAGCTTCTTCTCTTCTCCCTGGCTTTTAATCAAGTCATCAAGTAGGGCTGGGTACCGAACTTCGGGTCTTTTATGGTACCGACCGAAATGCTTCGGTTATACCGAGTATCGAAACATGCCTCGTCTTTCGGTACCAAGTTTCGGTGATTGGCTGTAACACTTAACGTGATTGCGTCATCCAGGAAAAATACACAGGTGGTCCCGCCTACAGCCAGGGTTGATGTGTATCTGTTGTGAACTGGTTGTGAGCGTTGCGGAACTCCTTTAAAATGCCCCCCAGGTCAAAAGTGCGGCTTCACTTTATTAAGACTGATGCTAATAGTGTAGAGTAGACGTAAGCAATTTAAGAGCAGAAAGTTGCTCGGTGTTTGACTGCAAGAAGAGCGGACCGCAACCAGCGCGACCATCCTCCTCTCAGCAGCCCATGGGCAGAGCAAAGCCAGAGCGGAGTAATGCTGTAATAATGTAATAATGCTGCAATTTCAAACTGGACGCAGCAGGAGAAGCAAAATCACGTCTGCTGCTTCCTTTTTTGCTGCTTGTACCAGCTTCTGACGCGCGGCTTAAGAAGCTTTGCTGCTCTGGCTGCGCGGTGCAAAAGTGGCTCTGATGCGCGTTGGGCGGAGCTACTCTATCCTTTATTTGCCTTGCAGCTATATTTGCTGTGATCAGTGGGAATAAAGTAGTTTTATTATGTTTGTAAGTGGGAAAATCCACCTGAAAACTTAATCAGTGCAGTCAGTTCATCCTGCCTTCCAATATTCTTTCTGTCGGAGCCGCTCAGACCCCCCCCATACCAGCGGTGCGCTGTCAATAGGATCCCATTCAACGGGCTTGTTTGTCAGACATGGTAATTTTTCTAAAGTAAAACTGCTAAGTAAAAAGGTCCTCACAATGTTACAGTGAATATTAGACACTGATTTTTTTTTTTTTTTTATGTAAGAGGAAAAATGTAAATGGAAAAATCAGAGCTTAAAATAAAACTCAAGATTTGTACTTTTTTATGTTGAGTAATTTTCTTTTTCTTCGAATTGATATTATAAAACTGGTATCGAAAAAAGTATCGTTCAGGAACCGGTATCGAAGTGAAGGTATCGGTATTGGTACCGGTACCGAAATTTTTTGAACAATACCCAGCCCTATCATCAAGTTACATTTTTATTTAAATATTAACTTATTTTCTTTTTATTCGGTTTTATTGCATTGTGTTTATTAGGGTTGTCAAAAGTATCAATACTCAAAAAAGTATAGATACTGAAATGTTGTATCCGGATTAGGGCTGCAACTAACGATTATTTTAAAAATCGATGAATCGGCCGATTATTTTTTCGATTAATCGATGAATCGGACAAAAAAAAAATTTTATATTAACTTCTTTATTCCAAAATAAACATTTTAGACAGAACAAACAAGCACACAAGTACAGGTTGCTCATTAACTGTACTGGTGCAATATGAAAAATAAATGTTTGTGTAAAAACTACGCAAACTTACATGAGAAATGTAGCTGTACATCCACAAAATATAGGCTACTTTGTTTCATAAAGCGCAAAAAGAGACAGGCATTTTTGTTTTTTAAAGCCCCTAAGGGGTTCAAACAATAGGCCCCCCCATTTCAACAAATGAGTTTTTTTAGACTAGAAAAGTTCTGCCTTTTAAGACAGGAAAGTATAGCAGTTAAAGTTGCTACTTGAGAAAATACTGAACCATAGAGATAAAAATAGCCCTGTGATTCTAATTATAAATTGTATTTGGAATAAAAATGAGAGAACTAGGGGTGGTAAAAAAAACACATCCTCCAAAGACAGATATTTACATGGGAATGTGGCAGATAATTAATTGACATATTACTGATCTTGCTGGATTTTATTCTGCTTTACTTCCATAAATTGCAGGATCTTCTTTTCTTTATCTTTGCCAGAAGATTTAAACTTTAAAAGCCTTGCCCTCATAATTTGCAAGTTAATTTATTTATAAAGAAAATATAAACGCTGCTTAACCAAATTTAAATGAAATTAAAAGTAAAATAAGTAGCCAACCTTATCACTGTCTGTAACCTACTAACAAGGTAAGGAAAGCATCAGATGAGCGAACTGAGAAACTTACGTTACGTTTCCCCTCTTTAAAATGAAACAAACATGGTTACTCATCCTGCTGATCAGCTCTCTTCACTGCCATTGAAGGCTCCAACGTGTTTTCTTTTCAGGTGCTGCGTCATAACAGTGGTGCTTCCGTGCCATGTTCATTTGTTTTTACAAAAGTTGCATGTTACGACTTTTTTCACTTTACAAAGCGCAGGCTATTTTAATTATTGTGATCAATTTGCGCCGTCAATCCCGGCGCATGCGCGCTTCATTTGCAGTCTGGACGCTGAGGGTAAACTCCTCACTAAAATCCTGCGGCTCTGACTCTGACTGCCGCGCTGAGAGGGATTCCTGTGGGAGAGGGAGAAAGGGGTTGGGATGGGGGAGGCGCCCCACGGCAGGCAAAAGCCGCCAGTGACACCGTAAAAAGTCGCCAGATTTGTCGCCAGTCGCTTTTTTGAAAAATAGTCGCTGGAGGGGTCTGAAAAGTAGCTGAGTTGGCAACACTGCAACTGCGGCGCTGACTCGCTCCGTCATATTTTTTTTTCTTCCCCCGGATGACGGCGGCGGCGGATGACGCATTAATCGCGCGACACAACTAATCGATGATTAAATTCGTTGCCAACGCTTTTAAAAGTCGATTTTTATCGATTCGTTGTTGCAGCCCTAATCCGGATACAATACTCATTTTCAAAAGTATCGAGTACCAGTCGCACCTAAACAGTCATTCATCTAAAGTGCAGAATAGAGGAAAATGCACTTTCTGAACACTGTGATTGAATAATTCTGCGCACTTTTCAGTTTCAGACTTTTTTTTTGTAACAGTTGCAGCTGCTGAGAATTATTTTTGTTTCTTAACCAGTTTGACTAGTGTCATTGTTATGTGTGCAAAGCATAGCCAAGGAAGGAAAACTTAATTTTAATTTTGTAAGTTTTTTATCAAGCTTGCTAAATACTGTGTACAGCAAACAACCTCAAAATGTTGTTTATTGTATTTATTTATTTATTGTATTTTAATTATTAATCAAAATATTTCTGTTGAAATTTTATCCTAGTGGTATCGAAAATGGTATCGAGTATCGAATATTTTCCTTAGTATCGGTATCGAGTGGAAAAGTTTAGTATCGTGACAACCCTAGTGTTTATGTATTTTAGCTTTTACGTTTTTACCTTATTTCCTGCTAATTTGATATCAACTCTGGTTGCTTTAAATGTGCTTTATAAATAAAATTTGTGTTGAAAATAAAAGCATTTAAATCCTTTCTGTTTTATCCCTCTGTTCCCGATCTGTACAGGAAATGGGATGCTACGCTAATTCCAGGAGCTAACTTTATCAGCTTTGGATTTAAACATAAATCTAGTCTTTTTGAGTTTTAAGTTTTCCTTTCATGTATATGGTATATAGTGCGTAATCTATAGAAAGAAACCACTAGAATGCAGATAAACATGGTTTAATCAGATTTACTGCTCTGAGCATGTCCCATGATGACATTAGAGAAGCTGTTTAATGGAGAAAATGTAAAAAACATTAAAATTGTCTCACAAAAGTCATGAAACATATTTTAAAGATTTCAGACAAGGACAAAAATAAGTAGTTTTAGTACCATAATTACATTATTTATGGACACCCTGGTGTATGTCTGTTCGCTCATGCGCAGGACGGATCGTGCTTCCTGACGGATCGGGTGGTGACAGGGCCTACTATTCATTCTGACAGCAGCTGAACTGTGGTCTGACCCAAGATGGCTGCACTATGGGCACCTCGGCCAGCGTCCAATGAGGCGTCTATGTATATAATGTCCATTAGCGAGGAGAACCGGGCTGGTGGTGTTACCACTAAACCTGTGACCACAGAGGGCGCTCAATAAACACCTTGAAGACGATTGAGAAGAAGAGCACTTCAGAAAAGCTGCTAAGCTCTCCTAGTCCCAAACCGGCCCCTAAGCACCAACCCTTCATCTGCGTGTTCCCATGGAGGGTTCGCCGCTTTGAGGGCGGTGTTGTGATGAGAATTGCCTCCCTTTGTTGCAGCAGTGCACATCGCCCTAAACTCTCCCACTGAGGAGGAAACTGATTTGAAATATGAACGAAAAGGAACTTAAACATATTGTAAATGTTTTCATATTTCTAACATTGAGAGTTTTGGTGGACAGATAAATCCCAATGAAACCGATTTTTACGTGTATGGAAAAACGTTTCAGTCCATGAGCTACGGTCAGTGTCTATGAATCTATTCTCTGCTCAGTGGATTCATTTCCTGCTTTTGCTGTCAACACCATTCCAGATCATTTCTGACATTTTATTTCTTAAACTTAAAGTATATAATTTCACGTATTCATTCATAGTTTTAATTCCTTCCTTCCTGTTTTTTGAGGCAGGTACATCAGTCAGGCAATATTTGGGTAAAAAGGGAGGGAATCTTCTTCAGGTTCCACATTCTAAGTTTAAGAAATAAACTTAAGTTTTCCTAATGTCTTCCAGTTGGTTATTGAGAGACACGCTCACTAGCGCCCTCTGCCATCACAGTTTATGATGGATCCCACCGGTACCGGTCCACTTCAGTCCGTCATCTGTTGACCCACGATCCTCTCTGTGCTTCCAGTTGTTGGCGTCGGCGACGGAACCAAAATGCTCAGCTCCATGTTGACTGGTTCTAAGGTGAGTTTGGTTCCAGACCAAACCGGCTCGCTTTGGTCACATTGACTCGGAGACATGAAACGATTCCTGATGTCATAATGTTGTCCTCACCTGCTGACATCGTAGCTGACACCACAGCATCCCTCTGGTTCCAGGATGATGATCCTCCTCCTGCTCTCTGGTTCTGATCCACAGAACCACAGGGTTCGGTAGAACATCCTAAAACTGTTCAACTTGGGTCCAACATTTCCCGATTCCTTTCTTCCTTTTCCTGATATCTACTTCTAGTCAGAACCAGTGGATCTGGCTCCAGTTTTGTACGCATTCATTCTGAGAATGCATGGAGACGACCGGTCTGTGGTTCTGTTGGCATTTAGGAAGCAGCCTTTGGGTCCTCAGAACTGTTGGTCTGAGGGGTTCTGGTCAGGGGAGAACAGTGGCTGATGAAGAACATCAAGATCAGGGTCATTGGACCAGATCTTGGTACCTTTGGTGGTCCGGGACAGTTCCAAGTCCTTCAGCCTGTCAGCAGAGGGGAAAAATGTCCGTCTAGATGTTGCCTTCCCGTCAGGCTGCAGTTCTCCCAAAGATTCACCGAGCCGATGACGGATCCCGGCATCAAATCCACGTGTTTTCTGTTGAACATTGATGCTGTATGATTAGACGGTTTAATTTAGCCCTAGAAGGACGGTTTCATCGTCCTACCTCTAGCCAGACAGCTGCCACCTTCTCTCCCCCCTTTGGCGCTCTGCCAGGCAAACTCATCCCATTGGCCGCCATCCTCCTTCATTTAATCAAGTGTTTTACCGGTTTCTGGCTAGCATTGCTACAGCCTTTACTGAAAAATGACTAACTGTACACCCTGTTTTCCCCCAGAAACCTCACTCAAATGTTCAAAACTTCACAAGCAACAGCTGCTGGAGATAACTGAAGATTCTCAGTCATCCAGGTCATAGCCATTCCAAAAAAAAGTAAAAAAAAAAACAACCCAAAACAATCCACTAAACTTTGTTTCCAAGTTTGAAGACATTTCTCTTCCCATCCAGGAAGCTTTTTTAAATTGAGAATGTCAGAAATAGCGTTGAGTTCCAGGTTTTATAGGGTGGACCAACAAAGCCTTGTTATGGCTTAGAAAACGTGCAAATTGAAACGAACGAACGGGTCCACCCTTTGCATTACCCGTTACTGACCTATGCCTCTGAAAAGCCAGGCAAATAGTTACCCTAACGACTCCCCTTTTCAGAGGCATAGGCCAGTATCGGGTATTGCAGGCTAAAGTACTGGTTATCCTCCCGCAGCAGTGTGTTGCAGTGAGCTTGTCGCAGGTATGATGCAGATATTTTGGATTTATGCCCAATATTGAAGGGTTGTCTGCACTATGTTATTCCACGCCACAAAGCCAAAGGGTAAATCAGGAACTAGCTAGGATTGTGGGTGTCCGTGTGTCTGTTTCACGAGCTTGTTCGCCGTCTACAACCCCTCATCTAATGCCGGACGACACACAGTTCACCCGTGAGTGTTCCCTAAAGACTGGCCGTAACATTGCATGTTTTGGCTGCGGGTGCAAACCAACAGACCGTCACGCGGAGCTACAAACTAGCGTCCTGCACGGTGTCTGGGATAGTGTCCGAGGTGTGCCAGGCGCTGTGGACGGAGCTACAGCCAGAGTTTCTGCAATTGGGTACCAAACAGGAAATATGCATAGTGTAGAGTAGATGTAGAATTGACCAATCAAAGGCCTCCTGTCTGCGGTCACCTACAATTTTGTCTGTGGAAGGGGGGGGGGGGGGGGGGGGGGGGGGGGATATCGGCGTTAACTGCAAAAAACACGCACACCACCTGATTCCTGAGCATAAACCAGGCTAACAAGGAGCTAACTTGTTGATAAAGTGATGCTTTCTGCTGTTTCTTAGTGTATCTAATCCAAACTGTCCACTGAATTTCAGAAATATGTGGCTGTGGGGGAGCTGGGCAAAGCTACAGATACTCTGGATGCCACCGGCACCGTGGTTCTGGAGAAGACCTTTGGTAAGGATCAGTTCTTCCTGCCGTGTGGTTTGGTCCTACTGTCTGCAGCCTGTGGTGTCTGTGTCGGTTTCCTCAGAGCACGTCACCAGGATGGACATGGAGGAGAAGCTGAAAGCCTTCACTGGGGACATCATGCAGGTTCCTCCGCTGTAAGTCAGCCTCACTCAACAAAACCAGATTCATTCAGGATTATTTCAGCTCTTCTGGGATGCGTAGCAGCTTAGAGAGCTCTGAAGTTCTGCTGTGTTTCAGCTACTCAGCCCTGAAGAAGGACGGCCAGCGTCTATCTGTCCTCCTGAAGAAGGGTCACCAGGTGGAGGCCAAACCTGCGCGTTGCGTCACCGTCTTCAGCCTGAAGCTGCAGGACTTCCAGCCTCCGCACTTCACCCTTGGTTAGCGGGCGCCGCCGCCTCTGTTCTGATACGCTCCGTGGTTTTCCTGTCAGCCGTTCATGACCGCTTTCTGCCTGGTTGACAGATATCGAGTGTGGAGGTGGATTTTATGTCAGGAGCTTGGTGGACGACCTGGGCAAAGGTAAAGACCCGCCCCTCGTTGGGATTGGTTGATGAAACTGGCTCTTTAACGAGGTTTCTTTACCACAGCTCTGTCATCCTGTGCTCACGTGAAGGAGCTGATCAGGACCAAGCAGGGCCAGTTCACCCTGCAGGATCATGTGCTGCACGAGGATCGCTGGACGCTGGAGGACGTCTGTGGAGTTCTGCAGCCCTGCTCAGACGGGGGACCGCAGCTGACCGGGGACCGGGGCAGGACCTCCCCGGGTCCCCACGGACCGACAGCTGACCGGGGACCAAGCCAGGACCTCCCCGGGTCCCCACGGACCGACAGCTGACCGGGGACCAAGCCAGGACCTCCCCGGGTCCCCACGGGCCGACAGCTGACCGGGAACCGGGGAAGGACCTCCCCGGGTCCCCATGGACCGACAGCTGACTGGGGCAGGACTTCCCCTGGTCCCCACGGACCGACTCCTGGGCCGTCATCAACCTGCTTCAGTTCTTTTGTTTTGGTGAAAAACTGATATTACAAACGAGCTCTGCTTTCATGGATGTCTGTGGACCAGCATGGGCTGGTTCTGCTGGTTTTTGTGGGATGAATGACATCATTTTCAGTTCTAGATCCAGAAATAAAATGTTTTGATTTCATTAACTTTGTGTTATAAATACAATAATGTCTAGTGCTGATTTGGTTTTTGTGGGCTTTTTATGCATCAGAACCACCAACGGTTTCTGAATCGAACCAGAATAAAAATTTGGCCTCCAGTCTGGCCTTTGACACTTCTACCCACTGATCTGTATTCACTGGATTGCTGATAGGCCAAGAAAACTGAAGTCACCTGCCGCCATCTTGGTACTCCCTGCTCTCACGGAGTCGCACCATAAATATGCCTGTAATGTTATTCCCATAACAATCTAATCGATACATTTACATAATTAATGTAGCAGATGCTATAATGTTCTTAATATCTGACCACCATTATTATGCTCCATTTACACCTTCATTTTGTGGTGATGGATTTGTTTAATATGTTATGATTATAGACTTCATACTATGTAATATGTATGTGCCTTTTTTTTCTTTGTGCAAGTGATGAATTTGTCTTTATTTTAAAAGTCTTTCGCTCCCCAGAAAAAGATAAATTCATAGTTAGTCGATGCTGTAGCGCACATATTGTTTGCTTTATAACCTGTCTAACTAGGGAGTACCAATATGGTGGCTGGTAACTTCACATCACAGTGTTCTACCATCAGCAAAATAGTGAATAGAGATCAGTGATGCTACGGGCTAATTTCACCACGTATCCTTTGATCATGGCTGGAGATTAACTAACTGGAAAACTAGTCAGTGAATCATTAGCAGTTCCTAGCTAATGATGCTAAAGCTGCTAATAATACCAAATAGTAACGTACTAATGATGCTACACTACTAGTAATGCAAACTAGTAATGCTGCTAATGATACTACACCACTAATAATGCCAACTAGTAACACTGCTAATCCTGCTAATTATGCTGCACTACTAATAATGCCAACTAGTAACGCTGCTAATGATGCTAAACTACTGATGATGCCAATGAGTAACGCTGCTAATGATGCTACACTACTAATAATGCCAACTAGTAATGCTGCTAATGATGCTACACTACTAATAATACCAACTAGTAACACTGCTAATGATGCTGCACTACTAAAAATGACAACTAGTAACATTGCTTATCCTGCTAATTATGCTGCACTACTAATAATGCCAACTAGTAACACTGCTAATTATGCTGCACTACTAATAATGCTAACTAGTAACGCTGCTAATGATGTTAAACTACTGATGATGCCAACGAGTAATGCTGCTAATGATGCTACACTACTAATAATGCCAACTAGTAATGATGCTACACTACTAATAATACCAACTAATAACACTGCTAATGATGCTGCACTACTAAAAATGACAACTAGTAACATTGCTAATCCTGCTAATTATGCTGCACTACTAATAATGCCAACTAGTAACACTGCTAATTATGCTGCACTACTAATAATGCTAACTAGTAACGCTGCTAATGATGCTAAACTACTGATGATGCCAACGAGTAATGCTGCTAATGATGCTACACTACTAATAATGCCAACTAGTAATGATGCTACACTACTAATAATACCAACTAATAATGCTGCTAATGATGCTACACTACTAATAATGCCAACTAGTAACGCTGCTAATGATGCTAAACTACTAATAATGCCAACTAGTAACACTGCTAATTATGCTGCACTACTAATAATGCTAACTAGTAACGCTGCTAATGATGCTAAACTACTGATGATGCCAACGAGTAATGCTGCTAATGATGCTACACTACTAATAATGCCAACTAGTAATGATGCTACACTACTAATAATACCAACTAATAATGCTGCTAATGATGCTACACTACTAATAATGCCAACTAGTAACGCTGCTAATGATGCTAAACTACTAATAATGCCAACTGGTAATACTGCTGATGATGCCACACTACTAAAAATGCCAACTAGTGATGCAGCTAATTATGCTAATGATTATCACTACTAATAATACCAACTAGTAATGCTGCTAATAAAGCTAATGAGGCTAATACTACTAATAATACCAACTAGAAATGCTGCTAATGAAGATAACTGCTAATAATGTCAACTAGTAACAATGCTAACGAGGCTAACGCTGCTATATGGCTCGGGATCCGCGTTGCATTGTGGGATGTGGCGGCCATATTGAGGGCTACGCGAACGTAAACATAGCTCTGACATAACGTTGTTGTTGAAAGAAGAGACATAGAAGTAGAGAGAAAAAAGATGTTAAAATCCCAAAAAGGATCTGGAATTTACCTGGACACATTAAATAGAGAAGCCAGGGACTGGTATGTTGACAAAATCAGCATTATTAATAATTTGGATCCATATGAAGTTTCAAACAATGAGTGGAGCACCGACGAGTGAGCGCCTATACTTCAGAACAGTTCCAAAGCTACAAGTCCTTGGAGTCTCATGTGCAGTTCATGAATGGATGGGTTCAGGAGCTGCAGATCATAAAGCCAGCAAACAGCGGGAACACAGTAATTCGTACAAAGGTAAGCTGTGCTTAGACAGGCTCTGGAACCTGCTAGTTTAGTAACTGCTTACCCCTAGTGCTAACCACCACTCACGCATGTAATGTACTTTTAACTAGCTGCTATGTGTTTCAAAGGTGTAGTTAGTAACGTTAACTGCCAACCCTCCGGGTTTCTCACGTATTTGAGCCTTTTCCCGCTGCCGTTTTCATTATTTTCCCGTAAAAGATCCCAACTTTGAAGGAAAGAAACAATGTAGGCTATAAAATAAAACCGTGCATCTTTAACTTACCAGAATGAAAATGCAGGGAACACACTCTCATTGACATCGGGATACTGTGGAAAGTTATGTTCGGTCGCCTTACAGCCGCGATCCAAGCTAGCTGACGACTCTTTATCAGGCAGGAAAGCGGTGGAAAATTAACCCATTTTCTATGTTTTTCCCATGGCGATCATGTGTTGCGCTGTTACAGCCCACAATACAGCAACGGTTTGCCATGGTTGAAATCAAGGTGAAATTAATCAAATTAAAACACGGCTGAGAGGGAGTACAGTACGCGGTAGTCATAGGCAGTAGTCTGAGCAGCGGTAAAAGAGGCCTTCAAGATGGCAGCGACGCAAAGTGCTTACGTCATGACGACCAAGCCCAATTAATACCGATTAGTAACAATGCCAACGTTGCTAATGATTCAATTCAGTTCATTTAGCTCAGTGCTCAGCAGCTCAGTGCTCCTGAGCACTGAGCTGAGGAGCACTGAGCAGGAGCACTGAGCAGGAGCAGAGACAATCTACAGGACATATTGGCCAACAACAGGCAAGGCATCAGCCTCCACCGCAGGGCTGGGCGTTGGCATCCACCACCAGGCCAAGCCAGGAGCCAACGACACCAGCCCAGGCCAACCACCACCACCAGGCTAGGCATTAGCCTCCACCACCAGGCCAAGCTAGGAGCCTCCGACACCAGGCCAACCACCACCACCAGGCTGAGCATTAGCCTCCACCACCAGGCCACCAGGCTGGGCATTAGCCTCCACCACCAGGCTGGGCATTAGCCTCCACCACCAGGCTGAGCATTAGCCTCCACCACCAGGGTGAGCATTAGCCTCCACCACCAGGCTGAGCATTAGCCTCCACCACCAGGCTGAGCATTAGCCTCCACCACCAGCTGGGCATTAGCCTCCACCACCAGGCTGGGCATTAGCCTCCACCACCAGGCTGAGCATTAGCCTCCACCACCAGGCTGAGCATTAGCCTCCACCACCAGGCTGAGCATTAGCCTCCACCACCAGGCTGGGCATTAGCCTCCACCACCAGCTGGGCATTAGCCTCCACCACCAGGCTGAGCATTAGCCTCCACCACCAGGCTGAGCATTAGCCTCCACCACCAGGCTGAGCATTAGCCTCCACCACCAGGCTGGGCATTAGCCTCCACCACCAGGCTAGGCGTTAGCCTCCACCACCAGGCTGAGCATTAGCCTCCACCACCAGGCTGGGCATTAGCCTCCACCACCAGGCTGAGCATTAGCCTCCACCACCAGGCTGGGCATTAGCCTCCACCACCAGGCTGAGCATTAGCCTCCACCACCAGGCTGGGCATTAGCCTCCACCACCAGGCTGAGCATTAGCCTCCACCACCAGGCTGAGCATTAGCCTCCACCACCAGGCTGGGCATTAGCCTCCACCACCAGCTGGGCATTAGCCTCCACCACCAGGCTGAGCATTAGCCTCCACCACCAGCCTGAGCATTAGCCTCCACCACCAGGCTGAGCATTAGCCTCCACCACCAGGCTGGGCATTAGCCTCCACCACCAGGCTGAGCATTAGCCTCCACCACCAGGCTGAGCATTAGCCTCCACCACCAGGCTGGGCATTAGCCTCCACCACCAGCTGGGCATTAGCCTCCACCACCAGGCTGAGCATTAGCCTCCACCACCAGGCTGAGCATTAGCCTCCACCACCAGGCTGAGCATTAGCCTCCACCACCAGGCTGAGCATTAGCCTCCACCACCAGGCCAGGCCAACCACCACCACCAGGCTAGGCGTTAGCCTCCACCACCAGGCTGAGCATTAGCCTCCACCACCAGGCTGGGCATTAGCCTCCACCACCAGCTGGGCATTAGCCTCCACCACCAGGCTGAGCATTAGCCTCCACCACCAGGCTGAGCATTAGCCTCCACCACCAGGCTGAGCATTAGCCTCCACCACCAGGCTGAGCATTAGCCTCCACCACCAGGCTAGGCGTTAGCCTCCACCACCAGGCCAGGCCAACCACCACCACCAGGCTGGGCATTAGCCTCCACCACCAGGCTGAGCATTAGCCTCCAC